ACCTCTTCACGTCTTCCAATAGATTCTCGTGTGACATGGTCACTCTCTGCTGGACACACTCCAGTTTGTCAATGTCCCTTTTAAAATTAGGCTCCTGAAAGAGACCCTGGCTCCAGACAGGTTCTGGCCGAGGCAGCGTACAATGGGCCATTCCTTCTCTTGATCTGGACATTAAATGCTCAATTAGTGCAGCGGGAATTACATTAGCTTCCTTGGCAGCCACTCTGCAGTCTGTTTATAGTGAATTTACTGTCCATTAAACCCTCTGTTTCACATTAATTGCTATGAAGTGACTCCTTTTTAATAAAAAATACTTTATTGATTTTTTACAGAGAGGAAGGGAGAGGGATAGAGAGTTAGAAACATCGATGAGAGAGATTCATGGGATCAGCCGCCTCCTGCACACTCCCCACTGGGGATGTGCCCGCAACCAAGGAACATGCCCTTGACCGGAATCGAACCTGGGACCCTTGAGTCCGCAGGCCGACGCTCTATCCACTGAGCCAAACCGGCTAGGGCTCCATTTTTTTACAGAAGGATACTCCCCCCCGGAACGCTGCCCGGGGGGCCCCCTGGCTCCTCTAGAAAGGACCAGTGGTTAACATGTTTTTCCCTCCCCTAGGGGGCGGAGCACGCGGCCAGCACCCATGGAAGACGAAGAACAGTCTCATGTTGCCTCCTGAAACCACCCCCCGGTTGGCACCACCACCGCCCCCTCCACAGGTTGATGCCTCAACGCACACGAGATCATGGGGTTCGGGCTGCACATTAGGCCTTGGGTGGCCACAGAGTCCAGGCCAGACCTGGAGCGACAGCCGTGTCCTCTGAGCCGTCACGCTATCCCCTCAGACACACAGTGTGGGAGCCCGACAGGAGCTGGCAACTTCTTCATGTCAGCAGGACACACTTGTTTTCAAACCACCACGTGCAGTTCACAGAATTCAAACTCCCAGGAGCTTGAACAATGAAGCCTCCTTTCGTGGTCACACACTCACGTGTCAGCCCCGACCGGTGTGACTCAGAGGATAGAGTGTCTGCCTGCGGACTGAAGGGTCCCGGGTTCGATTCCAGTCAAGTTATAGAAAGTAACATTTTTGGCCCTAGCTGGTTTGGCTCGATGGAAAAACATCCTCAGATAAGGATTTAACAAAAATAAAACAACCTGCCCTGCCGAAACCGGTTTGGCTCAGTGGATAGAGCGTCGGCCTGCGGACTGAGGGGTCCCGGGTTCGATTCCAGTCAAGGGCATGTACCTTGGTTGCTGGCACATCCCCAGTGGGGGGCGTGCAAGAGGCAGCTGATCCATGTTTCTCTCTCATCGATGTTTCTAACTCTCTATCCCTCTCCCTTCCTCTCTGTAAAAAATCAATAAAATATATTTAAAAAATAAATAAATAAAACAACCCACAAGGACTTGGGTCCTCCCCGACCTCCCCCACCCCCCCCACCCTCGACTCCTTACTCTGGTACCCGGTTGACATTCTCAGGCTCCTCTTGTAAACGAAGACAAGCTACTGGAACTGACAGGTATCAGTGGGAAAGTACGGTTTAGTGAAAGTGGGGGGCTCCCCAGCATGGTCTGGGAGGTTCCCCAAAGAAACTCCTTGTATTTCTGGTGAGGAGCAAGGAAAGAAAATGCAGACAATTTCTCGTTCATACTTACGAAGTTGGATTTTCCTCTTTCCTGTTACACTATAATTATTTGTGAACCATGAGAGCTAAGAGGCGAGGATGACTATGTTCTGGGTTTATTTTGTGTGATGTATTTCTAGTTTTCTTCCCTGGGGGTTCGCATGTCCTCAGGTTGACGTCCCACCGTGTGTTCCCCACACGGGGTCGCGCGGCCTGCGGCTCTCTCACTGGCTTCCACGGGTTTCCCACGTTTGCAAGGGGCCCCAGCATTCCATGCTGTGCTTCCTCTACTGCTTTTGCACGCTCTCCAATCCCGCTCCTTCAAGATGCTGTCTTCTTTTTGATCTAATAGCTAAAATATAGACATAGGGCTGTTAAGTTACAAATAACGGAGGAATAGAAAGGAAGAAAGAGGGCCGATGGAAAAAGGATAGAAAAATAAAGGTGGGAATAGTGGGATTTTTAGGACATAACACATGTGATTTGATGAGGACCGTGAAAATTTGAAAGTTTAAATTATTGTCCCATTTTCCGTATTCAAGCATTATTTTTTTTTCCATTGAATTTAGTGGGGAAACATTAGTTAGCACAATTATATAGGTTTCAGGCATATGTTTCTATAATACGTCATCTATACTATATTGTATTATGTGCTGACCACCCCACATCAAGTCTCCTCCCATCACCACTGACCCCCCTATACCCTCTTCTACTTCCCCCCAGCCCCTTTCCTGACTGGTAACCAACATAACCGTTGTCTGGGTCTGTGAGTTTGTACTCAGTCTTTATAAATGACCAATAAAGAGAGAATGTAGGAAATGTATACTTCAATGTAGTGAAAAGACACTGAAAAATTATCTTCTGAAGGCTGACAAGGGCTGTCTGCCTGGTGAGCATCAGCTATCACTCCTCAGGCCTGGCAGCCTCTTCAGGATTGTCTGTGTCTAGGGCACTCAGGGAGGCGCTCCATCCAGGGTGTGGTTATAAACTGAACTAGATAATGCCTTCTCTACAGACTTATGCTCTAGGAATATTTTTAC